AATAGCCGTCACACTATTGGTCTTACTAAGCAACTTCACGATAGAAGCTAACCTCTTAGCTGCCCTAAATTCTGCCTCACGTTGCTTTTGTTCAGCTGCAAGTGTGTATGTTTGTTGTCATTCCTCGCGGCCCTTGGGTCAGCGTTAGCCTCCAAATTCTGGAGGAATGCGTGGGTGTTTAAGGAGGAGACTCTTCTGTGTTAGAGCATATGGCGTTATTTCCATATAACTCCTTCACCCCTGACACAAATATTCCTACACACGACAGCTGGCCGGCGGCGTACGCTGCTGCTGCTGCTGCTGCGTGTACACGCTGCTGCTGCTGCGTGTACACGCTGCTGCTGTTACATGCACACGCATTCCAACGGCGCCTCGTGCGCGCGCGCTGCGTACATGACGTGTGCGCTCATACGTTGCCGCTGTGTCCCTTCTCATGGCTTAAGTATTCTGCCACACCACCAAATTAATGCGCTAAACAATTGAATGCACTTTGAATGACGCCTTTCTACTGAGGGTACAAGTTTGTATCTCGATAGTGATCTTTATTAGCGAGCTGCCAGAGCGTGGTTGCCTTGTGACATGGCAGCATTGCGCTATTAACATAATCCTTGATGTTGCAACCTTGGCGACATCACTCGTGTGCTACTGTGTCACTATTGTGGCACCAGGTGAGAGGCAAACATCCTTGCTACCTTGCCGTAGCTGTACTTGTGAGAATTTATTTGTGCTAGTACTGCAACATTGTTTATGATATTAATTGTTGAATATGGATATATGTATTTGGTGTGTTGCATTGTTGTGCCTTTGACTGATCAGAATAGCAAGTTTGGTTGAGCTTGAACTATTCCACCCATTCAAAAGAATCAATACAGCCAGCCTTCAGACGAGGTTGTTGATTGAAAAGTCCGTTTTTAGGTAAGCGAAAATTATTAAATCATATGTCACACCTTCTTAGAATTTTTTCATCGCACTTTGAATATATGACTTAAATTTGTTATTCATCACGTAAATATGTGACAAAACCTTAGCCTTGATTTTCATCTACGTTTATGATTGACCTTGAACTTGGTCAAAAGGCTTTTATTTTTACGGTTCTGTCTATATTTAGTTAATTACGGATAGCTTTGAGGAGCTATGTAATGATGTAGTGCGACCAGATGAGGCGTATAGCCTTCTGAGGTGTGGTGGCTTATGAAAAAGGCATTCTGGGTCTATAATTTCAAAAAAAGTTAAGAGATCGTAATTTCATCAGCCAATCATTGACAGCCTTTCAAGCAAAATCCACCAATCATAGACAAGAAAATAGAGCGTAAGTACTTACGTTCACTTAGCGAATTTTGAAAGTATGGCTCCTGACGAGAAACGCAAGCTAACGTGAAGCCTGCATGCCTTCTCGGCATTGCACACTTATGCTAACTAAGGAGTTTCTGGCAAGAAATTCGTCATCATGTGGACACGAGTGTGTCGCGTGGCCGGCCTTGTATGCGTTCTGCGATGCTTGGAAGACGTGTTCAAACATCACCGCAAATTGATGTCTCAGCGTATAGCTTTGTAAATGATTGGGCGTGTAGGTGAGTTTACTTAATCCGCGTAGATGCTTGCGTCAGCGTCTGATCTCGTAGATATATATCACAACACTTGGCAAATGACGCTGAAACAACGTTTAGTCAACGTTGATTCAAGCAAACAACGTGTAATTCAACGCTGAAACAGTATTTAGTCAACGTTGATTCAAGCAAAAAACGTGTAATTCAACGCTGTCACAACGTTTAGTCAACGTTGATTCCAGCAAACAACGTGTAATTCAACGTTGAAACAACGTTTAGTCAGCGTTGTTTCCAGCAAACAACGTGTAATTCAACGCTGAAACAACATTTAGTCAACGTTGATTCCACCAAACAACGTGTAATTCAACTTTGAAACAACATTTAGTCAACGTTGATTCAAACAAACAACGTGTAATTCAACGCTGGCACAACGTTTAGTCAACGTTGATTCCACCAAACAACGTGTAATTCAACTTTGAAACAACGTTTAGTCAACGTTGATTCAACCAAACAACGTGTAATTCAACGTTGAAACGATGTCAGGTGTTTGATGGAATGCATGTTATATTGCGTGGCTGCAGAAATGGGTAACGTAGCTGCGTTTGCACGTTGGTAGCGCTGCTTGCCCTGCCAAGAGCTGGGCGCTGTGGATGGCATTCCTTCCTCCGAGCTGCCACACAGCCTGCCTTTCTCATATTTTCTTCACTGCTCCCCATGAGAGTTATGCGTGTTGGTGCCAGTGGTTACTACCTCACGTTGTTTCTCTTTTGTTTCATAATCAAAGTCTATGAGAGTTATGCGTGCTGGTGCCAGTGGTTACTCTCTCACGTTGTTTCTCTTTTGTTTCATAATCGAAGTCTATGAGAGTTATGCGTGTTGGTGCCAGTGGTTACTCTCTCACGTTGTTTCTCTTTTGTTTCATCATCGAAGTCTATGAGAGTTATGCGTGTTGGTGCCAGTGGTTACTCTCTCACGTTGTTACTCTTTTGTTTCATCATCGAAGGCTACTCTGTTTAAGAAGTTTTGTGTAATTTTGGTTTGTGCGTCAATAGTGCGCACTGATTTAACGAACTGTGAGTTTGTTGCTTATCACTGAATTTAACTCGCTCTCGGTTTTCGAGGGCTGGACTTCAAGTGTCGTTTGGCTCTGCATTTTCTTTTAAACATTATAGAGCTTTTTAGTTTTCAACAAAATAACGGAAACATAGTCTAGATATATATTTTTTCATTTTGGGTTTACTAAGGAGCACGAATAATCAGTGTAAGTTGCCTATTTCTTCGTGCTTTTTATTTTAAAGGAAATAACTTCAGTTTTGTAAGTTTCCCCTTGTTGAACTTATTTTCTACCGACGAGTCGTTTGGCATTTTCTAACTTTATCTCAAGTCATCATTGAGCTTTCAGGCAAGCTATTTATGGTTGATATTTGTGATTGCTCTGCTGGTTGAATGTTCAGTTGAATTTGGAATCAAATCTCATTTACTAATCTTCATTGCTACTATTTCACTATTGTTGCTTCATTCATTTTCAATTAATTCGTTAATTACACACTTTCGTATATTCGTATTTTCACTTCTTCTTTTTATTAGTGGCCAGACGATGTTTGCATAATGTTTTTTCCAGTTTTATTTTCTCGTGCAGCTCATTGTAAACGCTTTTTTCCGACATATATATATATGAGCAGCGATTTTTCTTGTATTTTTGCTATTATATAATATTTTCGATAAAAGATGCACGAAGCATCCAATCTGTCTTGTCGTGATCAATCAGTTAACCGCCTGTCACGTGATTAATCCACTGAGAATGTGCGATTAAGTTAAATTAATTAATTAATTAAGATTAATTTAATTAAGATTAAATCGTGGTAATAGAGACGCTTCCGTGTTGCGCTCTTCATCAGCGACGTGGTAAGTGACGCTCATGTGTGCTGGCATTTAATTGACAATAGCTTTGGCAAAGAAGTTCATTGTTTGCCAAAAAACAAGAAAGTAACTACGTATGTCGTGTATTTTCGTGGTTGAACGATGTATCTTGTTGTAAAATGTACTCTACTTGAATAATGAAATGAAATAGGAAGCTGAACTGTATTCCTGTTTTGCTGTAATGATGATTTTCAAAGTTGACGGCATAACAGTAGCGTCGTTTCTGCATGTCGTTGATATCTACAAAGTTGTGATGGCGAGTTGCTGCAATTGTACACCGCGTGTGGTGTAAGGAGACCCTCCTCTTGGGGAATGTGCTTTCTCTTTCTTGTGCTGTATCGCACTGAGCTGAGCTTTTATATACTATTGCTGCCGCTGTTGATGGTGTAGCTCTTGCTGCAATGATGCACTCGGTGCTGAAGCTTTGTAACTGGTGTAGTAAAGATTCTCCCTGAGCTGTCGGAGATTATATAGGTACTGACGTGGAGATTTGGATTTAATGCAGAAATTATGATGACTGCCCTAACATTTGATGCGATGGATGTGCCTACTGATCCACATTTCTCCATAATGGTGTGCGTTATCATCAGTATAAATTTGCAACTGGGGCATAATAATGAATAAAAAATATGGAGTTAGATTAAGGAAGGCGCCTGGAGATGATGAAGATAACTGCCATTCAAAGGGCGTTTTTTGAATTACTCAGGAAAGACAAGTCTAGTGAGGATGAATAATTTTGAAATAAAGATGCAAAGAACCTTGCATCATTTCTGTTAAGAGTTGCTTCTTACACTGGCCTTGCGCGCCAGCCTTGCGCTCGCATAGCTCCTAACTAGGGAACACCGGCACAATTTCTGAGAAATTAGAGCGCCTAAGGTATCCATGCTAACAAATTGTTAGATGCTGCCGTTGCCTAGGAACTTTTACAATAACGTCTGCGCTTGCGGCGCACTTGCTCCTGCTTAAGGTTTATCGTTTGTTATTTAATAAAACATTCACGAATTATAATAATCTAGAATTGCGCTACGGATGTCAGGATGACGAATTTCACATTTTTTGTGAAATAGCTTATATTGAGCTATACCTTGTTCGTTATTTGCTATTGAACTTCCTTGGGATGAACATTATAAGAGTATTATGGAGCTGCGTGAGAACTACCGTACACTACGTTTTAGACTTCTTTATGCTACTTTAGGTGCTCGAGTTTTCTCAACAGCATCATCTCCGATTGGGAAAGTTACTAGATTTGTGTTTGCAGCTATGGTATTAAATATGGTAAACTCACTGTTAAGCTTGTACTCTATTTAATTCTTAACTTTAAAAGAACTTGCAATGTCTACGAGAAATTATAAATTGTTCATCGGATCTCAGTTAGCATGTAGGCGTTATTTTACCGAAGCAATTCATGCATCACGTTTGGCTTTTTACCGACCTTTTTCAATGAATTACCTCATGTATATACCTAATGTTCAAATGAAAAAGTCTTTTTATTGGTATACACATCGGAAGACTTACGATGCCTTTGATGTGCAGGAAAACTTGTGATGCTACTCGTGCGATGATGACATCAATGATGACGTATCCACGACACTCGGACACGACGCGGTCGCCTGCAGCTCTCGCCACCTCCCCCGGCTGCACTCAGCTACTGAGGTAGCGAGCTCTGCTGCTGCTCACACGCCCAGGCCTCACACCGATGCCTCCATCCGGGACTGCCATGACCACCAACTCTGTGCCACGAACTACCAGAGCCGACTACCACAAGGAGGTCAGTCTTCTAATGTATTAATTGTGCTCTCTTTGTTTATAGAGTTGCGATTTTACTTATCAGGAAAATGAAACAATGTAGGAGAGTAGAAATTAACCTCGAGATGCGTTTTGTTGATGATATCGACGTTTTCCGTAAATACCATTAGACTGTTAATTGTGGTGTGATGACCGTAATTTTTAAGTTAGTTTTACTGTGAGAGTGCTACTGTGCCGTGCTGAGTGTACCATGTTGTATCATACTGAGTGTGCCATTCTGTGCCATGCTGTGTCATGCTCTCTGTGCCGTGCTGAGATTCACACCGTCGTACCCCCGCAGGCGCTGCACCAGATCCGGGCGTCGCTGCAGCCCTTCGCCCACGGGGGCCCACGGGAGCGCCTGAGTCCCGTGGTTTGTTCAGCCCCGGATTGGGCAGGCCCCGCTCCCCCCACTCCTCCCCGCACCATTGCCTACCATCACCAGCCACCATCTCCGCACCACCTGCACCATGTGCACCACCACATGCACGTACCGCATCACCATCCCTCCCTGCACCACAACCCTGCCCAGCCCCCGCCCCCACAACACTCGGCTGTCAGCAGCGGAGGAATGTCCTACGATGTCATCGGCTCCACCAACCACCACCACATTCACCCGGCAGCGCTACCACCTCGGTCTTCTTCCTCCACCGCCTCCACTCCCACCGACTTCCCTCAGATGGCGGGAGCCGCACGCCACTTTGCGTACGAGTCTTCGCCTCCACCACCGCCGCCTCGAGTGCCGTCCCACCAGCCTGGCGGCGGAGGAACTCCGTCTTCACCGCCGCCACAGACAATGCCGCCTTTGTTGTCCCGACTCTCGCCAGGGCCCGGCAAGAATAAGCCGCCTGGTCCCAACTACGTCAACGTGAGCGCTGCGGGACCAGGCAGACCTGTGATGGTGCATCACAGTGCCGTGTCTTCCGTGGGAGTAATGGGTCCGCCCCCTCCTTACCCGACACAAGGCAAACCTATCAAGGTGAATACCTTATTTTGTAACCGTTGTATGGTGTATGTGGTTTTATTCTATCATATGAAAATGACCGATTTACTTGGTTTTATACTATCACAATAATTATTCGTCTATATTCCACATTCGTCATCACATTTGGGCCCATAAGTGATTTCAGATTGCTCATTAATGTCTTTCCTCTCTTGTCAGGCTTATGAGAGAATTGGTCTTCTGTAGCTGCCGTATTTTCACTTATTTAACGTTCGTGATTTAGCCGCTATTTCATTGCTCCTGTGCTTTAGCTGACGTAATATTTTATTGAAATAACAGGTGCAGCCGCCGCCATACCAGTCCCGACAAAGTCCCGCCGTGGACCGTTCCAGTCCCGCCACTGGGTCGCTGGGGCCGACACCCCCTCCCATGATCGCTAGTGGTGGGTCCCTAGGCGCTGGTGCAATGGCCGTGGCGCTACTGCCGCCGCAGCACCAGCACCAGCCGTCCTACGGCCACGCCGCCCGTCAGGCCAAGACTCCCACGCCCGTCATCATGCAGAGCGTCCGTAGCACGCACGTCCAAAAGCCCATCCTGCAGACAGCCGTCGCACCTCCCTCGCCTCCTCCCCCGTCCACCCTCTCTACATCCTCCCAACAGCAGCAACAGTTTTCTCATTATACCGGAGCGTCTTTGTCGTCCTCCTCTTCGGCTTCCACTATCACTCCTTCGGCGACGGTGACCCCTCCCCCTCCCCCATATACACCTACGCCTTCTAATGCCTCGGCATCACCTTACACTCTGCCACCCTCGGCATCACCCTACACACTACCCCCCACGTCATCACCTCATACCCTGCCCCCTGCCTCACCTCTCACACTTTCCACCTCCTCACCATACACTCTGCCAGTATCATCTTCCGCCTCGTCGTATGCATCTCCGTACCCTCTGACGTCGCCTTCATCGTCACCCAGTCCCGTCACTCCGCCCGTACCGTCCATGGATGCGCCCGTGCCGCAGTTCGACCCACCCAGTTATCTCTCAGCAATTCAGGCTAAGGCCGCTGCTGCTGATCGCGCTTACAAAGCCTCTTCGTACACGACCCAGCGGGGCCCCTACAGCCGAGGCTCCACAAGTCCGGCGTCCTACGGCCGAGGGTGCGCAAGTCCTGCGCTCACGTCCATCCCAGTGCAGGAGAACCCCGTGCAGGAACTGGATCTGTCGTCCACGCCCCTTGCATATATCCCTATAGATACCTTGAGCGAGTCTGGTGGTAACTGCGGTCACATGACCGACGCCTACAGCGAATGCGACGGCATCTCCGCAGGGGCGGTGATGTGTAGCCGACTGAGTCGTGTAATGGGCGATACACCGAGCACGGCATCCCCGCGCTCGGCGTCTCCTGTCTCGTCAGTCACGTCACACGACACACACGCGCTCTCCCCGTCACCGGTGTCGTGTCTTTCAACAGCGACGTCGTCCCCCTCGACGCAGTCCGACATGACGCTCGAGTCGGGCTATTCGTCGAGCAGTCAGTCGGCCGTGAGGGGAATGCTAGCTCCTCCACCTCCAAATATGGGTTCTTTGGCCCAATCCCATTCCACGACGAGCACCAGTAGCAATAGTGTTAAGAGTAGTCTACAGACAAGTGCTGGTTCTGCCACCACGACGGTAACGACGTCATATAGCTCTGCCATGCTTCCTCGACCTCCCCCTACTCCCCACCACAACAAGACACTGCATCAGTCCCCTATCCCTGAGCGCAAGAAGATGTCCAATCAAGACCAGGAAGGCGGACACTCTGAACCCAGAGTGAAGTATTCACCTGAGGCTTACAAGTTCTACATGGAACAGCATGTCGAGAACATCATTAAGAGCGTTGATCAAAGAAAGCACAGAGAAATGCAGCTAGAAAAAGAAATGAAGAAAATCGGTTTATCTACCAAAGACCAACACGAAATGAGAAAAGTCCTTTGCCAAAAAGAATCTAATTTTATCCGATTAAAGAGAGCCAAAATGAATAAATCTATGTTTCATCATATTAAAACAATTGGTGAGTTAATGACTTGCATCAACTGCTGTCATTCCTGCTTCTTTCATAACAAAATGCATAGGCGAAATATTTGCGCCATTATCTTTTAATTTGATCTGTATATTACTCAAGAATTTATATATTTGAATTAGCTCTCTGTTTCATAATTGATTTACTTATGTTTTAACCGTCTTGCTTGTCGGATTTACGTTTCAAAAATCTTTATCTTGAGTTAATATATGTTATTTTGTCGAAATATGTTTCTTTTGACATATCTAAGGTAATTTTCCTACTTCACGGTTTGTGTCCTTACGACATTGATGCTAATTTTTGGTGTATTTCTAACTCTCACTTATTGAAACTCTCAGTATTCTTCAATTGATGAAAACAAATGATTTAAGTGTAATTGATTTTAAAACTTAAATTTCATTGACGTTAATCAGGTGTTGGGGCGTTTGGTGAAGTGGCTTTGGTGCGTAAATACGACGGCTCGAAGCTCTACGCCATGAAGACGCTCCGTAAATCTGACGTCATAAAGCGTAATCAGGTGGCGCACGTTAAAGCTGAGCGCGATATTCTGGCCGAGTCCGACAACGATTGGGTGGTTAAACTATATTATTCCTTCCAGGTCAGTAACTTCAATATTCGGTTTCATTTCACTGTACGTACAACTTTTCAATGAAAGTTAGTTTAAAGTTGATATTTTCGACTACATTTTATTTTTACTTTATTTATTATTTGCAAATTTGTAAAGCGTTGTTTCTGGGTTTAAATTTTCAAGATTATCAAGTTGATTGCCTCGTGTTTTGTATCCTCCTTGTAACTATTTCTTAGGAATTTGTTATTCCTTATCGGTTGAGATCGTTGCCTAAAGTGTTTCGGTCAATATAGTTTTTTCTTCTTTGAACACGGGCCTTGAATCTTAATAGAATTTATGCGTGCAGGACGCTGATAATCTTTATTTAATTATGGACTACATCCCTGGCGGCGATCTCATGTCGCTGCTCATTAAATTTGGCATCTTCATGGAACCTTTGGCAAGGTGAGTGGTTTCCACTATCACTCATAACCAAATACATTATTTTACTGAATTTTTTTTTTCAATTATTTTACAACTGAAGTATTTCGAATTGTTTTATATGTACCAAGTTATTTTTATTTTTGACATTAAGTTTTTTTTTTTCTCAAGGTTTTACATCGCGGAACTTGTGTGTGCCATCGAGAGCGTCCACAAGATGGGCTTCATTCATCGCGACATAAAACCTGACAACATCCTCATCGACAGAGACGGTCACATTAAACTAACAGATTTCGGCCTCTGTACTGGCTTTCGCTGGACACACAACTCACGCTACTACCAAAGAAAAGGTATATTATTTATATATCTTTTATATGCTGTTACTATCCATCATTTAAAAAATTACAACGACACTTTTAGATCATACGTGCAGTGAAATTTGTTTGGTTTTATGCATTTGAGTTGGCCTATGTATGAATTTAATAGATTTTTTCTTCATTTATACTATTCAGAATCCGTTTTATGTTAGATAATTCAACTAGTATAAAGACCTCTCCTGATTATTGACTATTTTGTGTGCCTACAGGAGACCACGCGCGGCAAGAATCAATGGACCCATGCGGCGACAACGATCTCGTGTGTCGCTGCAATGACCTGAAGCCCCTGGAGCGGCGGCGACGCCGGCAACATCTGCGGTGCCTCGCGCACTCACTCGTCGGCACGCCTAACTACATCGCCCCTGAAGTGCTCGACAGGAAGGGATACTCTCAGCTCTGTGACTGGTGGAGCGTTGGAGTGATCTTGTATGAGATGCTGGTGGGACAGCCTCCTTTCCTTGCGAACACTCCCGCCGAAACGCAGTACAAGGTAGGGCTATATTTTTATCCACTGCTGAAATTGAGGGTATAGTTGACTTGAACGTATTTGGTTTGGTTTGTAGTTTTATTTTGCCTATTGTTATTCTGTCAAGTCAAAGTGTAATCTAATGAGTTGTGTGATCTTTATTTTTTTACCCTGCTCGTTGCCTGTATTTATTAGCATGGCGCATCCACTGCTTAAATTGAGACACTTTCCTGATGCAGGTGCTAAACTGGGAGTCATGTTTGAGGATCCCAAAAGGAGCCAACGTGTCGCCTGAGGCCAAAGACCTCATCTTGCGCCTGCTTACAAGTCCAGAGCAGCGGCTGGGTCGTAACGCTCAGGAAATCAAAAATCATTCGTTCTTCGCTGAGGTAGACTTTGAGGCTGGGCTGCGCAAGCAGCAGGCCCTTTATATCCCCGAGATAAAATACCCTACAGACACGTCTAACTTTGACCCGATCGAGCCTGACCGTCTTCGCAGCGAAAACGATTCGGACGCTGACAGCTTCAACAGTAATCAGCCTTACCACGGCTTCTTCGAGTTCACCTTCAGGCGGTTCTTCGATAGCACTCCGCCCAGCTCAGGCACCGTCATCGTGCCGGTAGGGGGCACGGCAGGAGCTGGAGGTGCTGCTGGACAGTCTGGGGATGACAAAGATGTGCAGCATCCTGTCTATGTTTAAGGGTTTAGCAATTTTAAACTTTTATTTCTTGGAAAATCAGGGATACGCGATTGCAGTCACCTGGCTCGGCAACATGGGTTATTTCTTCTCCCGTTGTATACGTCGGAGAGTACATAAAATGAGCAGCGAGCTCTCACTTGCAGGAAAACTAACGTGTTTAGTATCTTCTTCTAAATTTAACGAACCAGTAATTAGGGTGACTTGGCTGCATCGTAAAGCTGAAATGACTAATTAGATCGTCCCACAAAAAATGCAACGTTTCCACGAACAATTTATATTTTATTAAGTTGTTACAAATTTTTGTTAAGTGGTTGCAATAGTATGGCGGTGGACAGGCTTGGCATTATAACGTCTTCATCTAGATCATGTTTTTATTATAATGCTGGCCCATTATCCTCCGCTCCTGTGCAATATTAATCTGCAGTGGCTTTTGCGTTGCAAGTCAGCAAATATGCGGTGTCATACGTTATTATATTATTTCATGGAGAGTGCACTCGAAGTGACAGTCAGTGTACAGGGTGGTCAGAGAGGTACTATTCAAATGCTAAATGACTAAATTGTGTATAAGTTTTATATTAACATTAAAGATTATTTACTTAGTTTTGAGCAACGATTTATACTCGTATTAATTCCTCAAAATATTAGTTGCATTTATTGTTGTGCGGAACATTTTTTGTTTGGACCGTACTTTTCAAACGCGACAGATTGATTTCATTAGCATCAAAGAAGGAAGTTGTGTCAAAATTTGAACGCTTGTGTTGCTTGCATAAACGTAGAAATTATTCCATTAAATCTGTTCTCCTCCCCTCTTTCTGATCACCCTGAAGTGCGGTTCCAATTCTCCCTTCTTGTATGTTTGTCGTTGCTTTCGAGTGTTCTCTGAGTTTTCGAAACTTGTTAAGTAAGGATGAATTGTTCTTGACTCCAGTATCTGCAGAGTTGGTATTATATTGCTTATGGATTGTTCCAGTTTACTTGCCGGCAATTTGCTTTTAGTCGTCGGCGAGTTGCGCTGGAGTGCAGGATGCTAGTCATAGGGTTGCTGTAGCTGATGGACTCGCCAACGCTTCAGCAACAGTTATATGAAATATTCTTAGACTTTATTGAGGTGATCTTAGGTTTATTGACGCACTTAGCACCGCATCTAAGAGGGTGACTCATGGCGTCATCATATAAATGGATGTTGCTGCCAGCTGCCACTGTTTTGAAGTGTGCCAGTTTTAATGGTCTTTAAATTAGGGACTTTTAGTCAGATTTTCATCTTTTATTGTGTATGATGAATGCATTTTTAAGAGAAAAATTGTTCCCAAATTGCTTTCGACATATTTGAAAAACTTTGAATGTTGATTAGCCTGTTCTTAAATATTAGAGGTTTGCTATAACCGTCTGATCTATGTGCTCAAGCTAGGTAAAGATGTTGCAACATCAGCGTTAGTATTTTTCGAAGTTAATGTTTTGTTCTCTGCAGGATGTAATGCTACAAGAACGGTCAAGCGAGCTGACCATGTGTTGCAGTGCATGTATTTTAGTGGCTTCTCAAGTTTGGTTTTAGAACGATTACCTCCTTGAAAAAGTTTTCACTTGATCAATTCATTCTCTGAAATATAAATGTTATCGGATATTTTTGATCATGAGTTCGCAACTTAGCGACCGTTTATTGATTTGAAATTTATAGATGGCTTGAGAGTTCTAACCTTCTACCGCGGTATGTCACTCTCCGGGAACATAACTTTCAACTTAAATTATACGAAAACTATTGAATGTAGCAACCTGAGGACGTTTGTACGCAATAGAGAACATTTTCAAGTTGTTGTACCTAGCGGCAATCATCAGTGCAAGTCATTTTGCGCTCACTAGCAACGTATCCTTTTGGGGGAATTAGGCTTGTGACAATACTGCTCCTGTTACTCATGTCAGGCGGTAGAGGGTTAACTCGGTAGATTGAAATTATTTTATCGTTAGCGCGGCATGGCTTTTGACTGAGAAAGCATCACAAATAAAAGAATGTAATCACAAGTTACCAAACTTATCTGTGGCAATGCTAGATTACCCGCCAGTGCGGAACTAACTATTGTTCTAGACAGGTCCGAGACTTACAGCGTTGGTATGAAGCGAGTGTAGGTTCAAGAAGTGATGGTTTGTTGTGCATACTACTAGAATGGACCTGTTAAGATTCTCAGATTTGTTACTTTTTATCAGTTCAATTGTTTATTCTGCTTGTTCTTCAGCCTTCTTGTCAGTTGAAGGTAATGACTTTATCTATAGAAGTAAAAGACGATCGTGATGTGTCACGTGGGTTAGGTTTGGCTTCAGAGTCCTTTTATCATTGATTTGGTCCAGTTTAAAATGACCTGGTTCTGCTTATCCTAGGTGGATTCATGCCGATTAGTGGTTTACAGCAGATGGATATTTTAGTGTCTTTAAACGTGTGTATGCTCAAAATATGGAGTTATAGGTTTCTTTGCACCCATGTTCGCTTAAATGTGTGTCCTGACTTGTGCTTTGGTCCAACTCAACTTCTAAGTAAAACTCTCTGCGGTATGCGCTCAGTTTATAACTGTGCAAATTTTTCATGCATTAAATGTCAAATTATGTTCACATATTTACTCGATATCTAATTAATGGGTATGTCTTTTGATAAACTAGTTGTCAGTCATTTTGAGTGACAATTCGCCAGTGCATCGCGTTGTTTTGGTGATTTTTTCATTCAAATGAATAAATGTATGCTCAAATTTCCTGTTACATTATGCTAAAAATTGTTATTATTAATTAGTGATTATTCAGTGTTATCACGATTCATGAAAAATACGAGTCACGTCATGAGTGTGTAATGAGTCTTGAAAAGCAATCCTGCTTTCTATGACTATCAAGCTTGGACGCGATGGTTGTAGTCCATGAATCGTTTGTCGGGGATCTATTTTTGCCCATCATGTGAAGCGGGCTGGAATTTTAGGCTTGCCAATATATAATTCAGTATTAATCATACTGGCAATACTGCTGGAAAGTTTGTTTAATGGGAAGTTTGTGGTGAGAGCAACGCGCGTATGGACTCGAGTGCAGTGATTATTTTTAGCTAACAATTCATTTTATCGTGGAAACCGATAAGAGCTTTCCCAATTATTGTCTGACTAGTATTAAATTTTTATACAAACTTGTAAATAATATATATAATTATTATTCGTTGTAAATTGTATTTCTGTGTATTGTAAATATCTATTTTGGCGAGAATTTTTTTCATTTCTCCTCAACATCTTCACCCTTCGTCCTTTGATGAACAAAATAGCCCATATTACCGTGTACCGTTAAGCTCGAAGATATGACAAATAATGCTCTGGCTTACATCTTGTTTGTTTATTATGCATCAGATTTGTTTCACCCGAATTAAGGTAAAGAAAGCGAACGTCTGGTGGGTCATCAATCCTTGCCGTTGTGAATCGAAGTCGGACTATCAACATGTAACTTAGGTTTAGTTGCCTAAAGTTTACTAGCGCTTCAGCTATATAGCTGTCTCGCGTCAATAGGCAAGGCTAATATCGCTAATGAGATGAAAGGTCTGAATTGTAGAAAAGTTTCTCTAATCAAAAACTGTTCTTTATAAACAAGGGTCGGAAGTTTTTAGTGTCTCGTCCCCTAAGCTGGCTTGACACAAGCAGCGTTAGCATCTCAACGAGACGAAGTAACGAGGGACAGGTTACAAGAAACAGAAAGGAAGACACTCGAACAGGAAAGAAGCTGCTTACACTGTACGTCGGCCGCCCGCACGTGTGAGACTGAAAAGAAATGTACGGAATCCTTCCTACAATAAATCGTAACCCCACAATTAGGATTAGGTCACAATAGGATTAGGCGCTCGGTCACAATATCCCTAAGGACGCGAACTCCCATTAGACTTCTGATGAGCACAGACACGCGTCAGAAGACCTCCTGATGAGGGACAATTTATGATCGTCGAAATGCGTAATTACAGAAATTATAACAGAGATCAGGTTGAGAGTTGTTTCTAACCCCACAAGCTTTAAACACAGTCGAAAAAGGCAAAAAATTAGTGGTTTTAGTGGAGTGTAGAACTTGATACAGCGCGGCCGCAAAAATTTGTTCAATGCCAAACTTCCATGCAAATATCGAAGAACTTGTTCTGGAATCAATTACCAAAAATTCTCTACCATGTATAATTCAGAATTGTATGCCACGTGCCATTTGTCGAACAGTATATTCAAGATTGAATCCAAACTGACATATGTCGATGCGCCACCAAGGGCATCGTCAGAATTTTTTTTCGTTTCGTTTAGAACTCGAAATACAAACGATTTGTTTGGCTCCATAAAAAGCCACCTACCCCAGCTTACTTTATTAACTTTTGAATAGATTAGTATGAAAACATAACTCGTTGGTGCAAATGTTATTAGAAATTTCAACGAGTCGTGAATGACCGAGTGGTACGCGATTGAGTTAAACATGCGTTTTCACGTTCTGCTGGTCCGCGTTCGATTCTACCTACCTCGAAGTCTGTGAAAATATCGAAGTGGTCTATTAAGATCCCTCAGACACTAATGAGACGAATTTTTGTTTTCCCGCTTATAATTTCGTAAAATCTAAATCGATTTTGAGTATTTTGTGTGAGTTTGCGAAGTCAACTTTCTAGCGCATTAAATTGCCTCAAAGGGAGCGCAGCCATGCACCACCAATTTTGTGCACCAATAAGCCCTGAATCGAACGCCTTGGATCTCTCCGGACCTACACCAATCAGCCGTGCACCACTCGGCTTTGTACTCTTCCGGCCTTGACCACCACCTGCCGTGCACCACCAGGGCATCGTTAAATTACGTAATTTTATGTTCACCGCATCTGAGGTTAGGTTTCAGGTAGCGTAGTTCTGTTCCAAAATTTATTGTCCTTCGACAAGTGGCCGTTCGATCAAGGGCTGGTTCGACCCACGGCCTAGGTACGGACGGCTTAAAGTGTTGAAGGCTACGTTCCGGAAGGCAGGAATCATGATGGTCCATTATATCCAGGGCAGTGGTGGTCTTCGGCAGGCGACCCGCCTCAAATACCCTACCGAATCGACACCTTTCCGAACTTGCCTGTGGACTCAAACTCAAAACCTAACTTTACACTCAACTTAACAACTTTTAAGTAGGTACTATCAATACGCCGCGTTAGGAATTATCACATATTTTTACATTACTTCGTTTTCAATAAAAACGTAAAAACGCATTTTCAAGCAACCCATCAACTTATAAATTATTGAAGGACTTATTAGTTGTTAGGTTACTTATAAAATGCGTTTATTAGTTTTATTTGAAAACGAAGAAATGCAAATATCTGTAATAATTCCTACCGCATCGTATATAATACCTACTTACATAAGTAATATTCCAAAATTCAAGCAAATCCGTTCAGGATTGAAGAACTCATGGGTTGTTAAGTTGCTTAAAAAATTTGTTTATTCGTTTGAATTGAAAACGAAGTAATGCAGAAATCTGTAATAATTCCTACCGCTTTGGATTGATAGTAGCTACTCTTATTCGAAAATTCAAGCAAATCCGTTCAGTATTGAAGGACTTATGAGTTGTTAAGTTGCTTAAAAATGCGCTTATTTGTTTTAATTAAAAACGCAGTAATGTAAAAATATGTTATAATTCCTACCACAGCATATTGACAATACCTACTTATATTCCAAAGTATAAGCAAATCCGTTCAGTATTGAAGGACTTATGATATGTTAGTCCGCAGGCGTGTTCGGAGAAGTGTCGATTCGGTTTAACATATTTTATTCCCTAAATAGGTGAAATTCCGCCATTTTCTCTCATAAATTGGATAAAGTATGTAGATAAATTTAGTTTCAATGGAATTTCAGAGCAGAATAATGAGAATAGCATGCACAGTCAGCGAAATTTGTTATGTACAAAACTCGCGGCAATCATAAAGATGAATAAAGAATGATCGCAACAAAATCTTCCGCGTAAATCGATTCCCAAAAAGATAATCGTTACTTGCTGTGTTTACTCAATGAAACTTGACAACCAAAAGGTTCAAATTCGCCACAGTAAAGTTACTCTAAATCAGGGTAAAATCGACTGTTGACAAAATTCGCAGACGATTTCTCCCATTGCCGTCGACGTAGTAACTTCATGTCTGACAGTGGCTTTGAGAGTGCGGTGATGGAAGTGTTGCTGCTTCACTTACTAGTACGTTAATTTTTGACAGCCATGGCTTTCGGTGGGATTCTTCCCCCGACAACGAAACACAGAAATGCTTCTTGGTCACTTAGAAGAGCTATTAGATCAAAAGAAAAAACTCTTCTCTGTGTAGCTGCTTTTGTAATATTATTAGTGTGCATAGGACCAATATTTTTCCTGCCAGATTTGAGAGGAGGATTGAACAATCGCGTTGATAATGTATTCAAAGTTTATAAACAAATGCAAAAAGTAGGCCCGGAATTGATATTACCTCCCCCGCCGTTGTTAGAAGATAATAGTGGTAATGTATTACAACCGCCAAGAGTTTTTCATCGAGGCATTGATGACCTACATCAAGATGATCGTGAAAGACTTCGCGAGAAAATGGAGCAAGATAACGAATTCAGAAACATAATCGAAAAGCCACATGTTGTTAAAGGGCCTTCTTCAACGCTTAGTAATAAAGTGGTGAATGTAGGTCAGATTGATGAGAGCATCAGACTAGTGCAAAATGCTGCCTCAGGAGCTACACCCGTTGTGCAGGGAGGTGAAGACAACGATCCTGTTGCACGTGAAAGGAGGGAAAAAGTTAAAGAGGTTAGTGTTTACACTTTACAGAAGGTTCATGTTCTTTTCTTTGTGTGATGTTGAACCTTTTTTTTTACAGTTAGGAATAGTTACAATTTTTTGTCATTTTTGAAATTACATATGCTTTTTAGTTTCTATCATTAGGCTATGTATCATTTTTATTATTGATATTTATATTGTGTTAGATTCTTAGAAGCCTAACTCAATAACTGGAATATTGGGCTGAACTGCTGAAGCCACCCATGAATTGGAAAAAAAAAATAAATAATAATAATAGCGGTTTCAGCGTTATTAGGCCGTAGGTCTGTCGCCGATTCTTAACATCACAGAACATTCACAGCATTTTGCGGTCTCGAACTCGCAACTCACTTCGACAATTCTGCTGTGCTTAACCGCCCGGCCTCCTTGCCGATTCTGACCAGAAACTGGCGCACAGAGCTGGGATTGAACCCGCGCCTCTCTAGTGCGTCAATCTTGGTACTCTGAACTTTAACCACTGGGCCACCCTGCCACTCAGGGTGCCTGCCTGTGCATCTGGCCAATTTCTCCCATTCCTATGGCTATATCCATTTTCAAATTTCTACAGTAAAAAAAATGAGATAAATAATCTTTTTTCACTTGTGGCCTTTCAAAAATCACCTGTGAAATGAATGTTTTTATCCAAGATTTTAGGAAACTTCTGGCCATGGAAAAATTTATATATTCTTGGCCATTGCTAGGGTAGAAACAACCTGCAAATCAAAGAAAAATGCCATTCTTTGCATTCAACTTCATCTGTTTTTATAGCCATTACCTAATTTTGATTCATGGAAATCATATACAATCAAACATGGCAATACGGGACGGGTGGGGTAAATCGGGACAGTTGTCCCACATTTCGTAGAAATGTTGTAACAGCCAAGCTAATCAAAATATTGCAAAACTAAAAATAGTGGCATGAAGTTCAACATTTCTACTATCTATGTTGCATAAAGCAAGTTAAGAAATCATACATTTACTACCTCTAAAAAATCCCTGAAAAAGTGTGAAAAGTGAGATTTTGGAAATGTACTTTTGCTAAGGTCTGTAGAAAAAAAAAATTTGCCATATCAGAAAAATTTTACTTACATAAAAGTTGCACACAGGTGTTGGCTTAGAAACATGACTGACAGAATTCAAATGTCTCATTCCAAAAAAAATGGCTTTCATTTCCGCCAATAAAAAATGGAAAATGGCAGCCAATAAGGGACCAAAAATTGCAGCCTATAAGGGACACCCCCCTGGGGTGTCCCTTATAGGACACCCCAGGAAAATAGGAAAATTACCATATATAACATATTTTATGTTTGACAGCCTATTTATGTTTTTTCTTTATGTTTCAGACTCTACAGAGTCTTATATATGGTAATTTAAAATTATTATATCTAATTATAAATATCTAATTGTTGATAAAACTGCAGGCTGCATGATTGAGGCTTAACATTTCTAAGTTGTTCAAACTACATAACTTTGAATTAGAAGCTACAAGCTGCTATAAAGAAAAAGGATTTATAAATCTTTTTTACCAAGTCATAGATAAGTTTTGCATGAAATTTTCAAGTTTACCTAAAAAGCAATAAATCTTTCACTAGAAAATCAAGGATATGAAAGCATGTTAATTTGGTTTATGGTGAAGTTACATCAAAGTTTCAATGCTCTAAGCAAGCTGTCAATAGCTATGAGAATGCTAAAAAGAAACTCATAGGGTTGGGAAATTTCAGCAGGAGAAAAGTACCATAGAGAAGTGAAATTTGAAATTTCCTTGTATAATATTTCCAATTGAACCAAAATATATCTATACACGACTGAAGCTATGAGATAATAAATTCACTAAAGTTACTTAATTTTAGAGCTCTGATATTTTAGCAAATAGTAGCAGTTGTTCAATCTTTTGTTGCAGATGTTCAATTTTTGCTAAGCAATCTGTTCAAGCAGCTCTACCTGCATTTGATATTTTTTACATGCACTTCATAACAACATTCACGTTATATACCCTCTGTGGCATGACGAGCCCTGCTCATTTGTGTGACATGCCCTTCTTTGTTGCGTTACAGAGGGTGTTCAGGTTGCGTTACTTGTGTTACACCCTCTTCTCTATTGCGTTACATGCATTTTGCTATAAATTATATGCATTTCACTGTTGCGTTAAATGCTCTTTACTGTTACAGCACATGCGCTTGACTTGCATTACATGTCATTCTTTGTTGCGTGATCATCCATCACATTTGTCACATTAGCTAGTTACCTCTAATTGCAACGTTCTAGGAAGAGGTTCTCATTATTTTGTAAGTGTAAGTGCATGTGAATTGATTGTCACATTAGCTAGTTACTGCTAATTGCAACGTTCTAGGAAGAGGTTCTCATTATTTTGTAAGTGTAGATGCATGTGAATTGATTGTTACATTAGCTAGTTACTGCTAATTGCAACGTTCTAGGAAGAGGTTCTCATTATTTTGTAAGTGTAAATGCATGTGAATTTAATTTCGCAGATGACCTTACATGCATGGAGGGGCTACAAGAACTACGCGTGGGGCAAGAACGAGCTACGTCCCATCAGCAAACGCGGCCACTCGTCCGGCATCTTCGGGCGCCAGGACATGGGCGCCACAATCATCGATGCCCTCGACACGCTCTTCATCATGGGTCTCACTCAGGAGTACCAAGAGGCTCGGGCCTGGGTCAGCGAACAGTTCGACTTCAACAAAATCGTGAGTGATTCCTGCTCAGGCTTTTTTAATCCTGTGCTTATTTTTTTTCTTAGATTCACTGCGCAATTCACAATTATGCAGTGTTTTATTTTGTGTCTTTGATGTTATCATTGATGTTAGTGTTTTCAATGTTCACGCAATCAGGTGGTTTTTAAAAAAAAAATTTCAATTGAATAATTCGTTCCGGGAAATTTAATGCTGTTTTGTATGCATTTGGTACTATCCTTCAATATATTGGCATTTAATTGTAGTTAATTAATTCGTTTTGAGTAATTTTGATGGAAATTTCTTTCGGTTTGTCTGGTTATGGAATGGAGTTGCTGCTCATACGCTATCTGAGTTTTATCTAATCATACTGAGATAAAGCATCAGCTGCTGCTCAATTGCCTTGACTTTTATCATCATATCTGACATCTTCTGTGAACCACGCTATTACCGCAGGAAAATATTCTCCCCCAAATGAAATGTCCGATGGATTTATTTTCTAATCAAAGATAACAGAATCTTACTGGGATTGGCGAATGTAACCAAATTGCTTTCGTTTTTTTAACCGTGAAATTTTCACTGCGCGGAATTGCCAGAGGAGAGCAAACGTGTCCTGATCTCTTCCTTCCCTGAACAAACGTGTCTCATCTTTTTTTGTCAATTCAGTAATTCCGTTTTCTCATTTCCCTTCTTTGTCACTCTCTGTCTCCTCTACCCCATTTCCTCACATATCAAATAGAACCGCGCTTGTTCCCCACTATGCAGGCTGGATTCTTTCAATTCAGTGTTCATAATCATAAGTCCAATAACGTGGACAGAAGCTTGCTATCCTTGGCTCGCATTTCTTATTCGCAAGTCACTCGCTGTCTAGTGGCTACTCCGTGTAAGCTGCATGTGAGCATCTGTCCTGCTCACCCTAGCTCTTATTATACCATTACCTAGCCGTGACTTGGTTGCATTTCCCATTCAATAATCGAGTACAGTTTACTTGAACTGCTCTCATTGCTGTTGATAAAAAGCGACGCAAAAGTTCAGGGATTTGTTTAGATTCACAGCATGTGTGCGTGTGCACGTGTCTTTATTTTAATTTTGAATCAGGAAGAAAAAAAGCTAAGCTACACGTAGACATGGTATTTAGTGAATATTGATGTATAATAACAGATTGTTAGGAAATTTGAAGCATACATGGCCTTCTGCGTCGTGGTAATGGAGTTGTTGTGTTCTCTAGGCATGGTATCATAATTTGATCGTAAGGGTTGACAGTTGTATCTGATTTATTGCCATAATTAGATAATAATTGTATTTATCGCTCCCGAAATCGCTATGTGCTATCGTAGTACATTACTCACTGTTTGTCTCAAAACTTTTTTTTAAAATCTTCGAGCTTTAAACCTGATTTTATGACAAATTCAAATGCATTTTGAGGGGAAGTTGTTCAGTACGACGCGAACGCTATTTATTCAACGGAACTGTAGCAAAGACGTGTTGAGAACCCACTTTCTTTAAATCTTTTGTTTGATTCGTGACTATTCCGTTTCTCATGTATAAAATGCGGCAATTATATCAAAATATTCAAGTTAGAACTAGGCCGCGCGAAGGCTAACCAAAGATTAGAATCTAAAATACACCCATTAATTCTTCTTTTGATGTCAAGTTCTGGCTTGTCAATTGCGTCACTGACTAACAGGTCAGCTTTTATGAACTAAAGAACACCTGAGGCTCTTTGCCTCACTCGGCTGCTGTGGCGAGCCTTGCCACGTGTGATGCCACTTTCCAGCCTCAGCCACTTAGCCGTACAATAGCGGGGGCTTAGGACACAATGGACATCGATTACCAAGAACGTACTGTGATGATTACCAAAATAAAAACGTTCATGTTTGATTTCTTGTTTGATGAGGGAATTGCAATGATATCCTTCGTGTATAATACATGAACATTTGTAGTGAAATTGCTGTTTGGCTAGCTTCATTCAACAGCCGCTCAATACGTTGGGAATGCAGTTTTTATTCATAAAAATATTTAGTTAAATTGCTGTTTGGCTAGCTTCATTTAGCAGCCGTTCAATACGTTGGGAATGCAGCTTTTATTCATAAAAATATATACTGAAATTGTTGTTTGGCTAGCTTCATTCAGCAGCCGCTCAATACGTTGTGCAAACGGACGAGCCGTTCTATTAACGGTGCAGTACTCTTGACTGCTATGATAATTAGTGGTTCCTTGGTCCTGCATGGTTTGGCTGTGTGATCTGTTGTTGTGGCCGCTGCTGACATCAACGAACTTCTTATCTCTGCAGCTAGTGCAGGCTAGTGTGTATGTGTGTTGCTAGGCGGCGGCGTAACGCCCTCCCCACACACACAACGTCTTGCACTGCGTAGGTCGCTTCGTATGACAGTTCGTGAACGTCAACCTTCGTTCCTAGGCTACGCTAACGATCACATCTCACCTCGACCTGACATCGATCTTCTGTACTGTGGAGCTCTCGATGTATATACTATGCTGCACAAGTTGAGAGTTTGATGTTGGTGGATATGTGACAACACTACTTGTATTGAATTGACTATCACGTATAGTGGACGTTTGGTTCAATTTATATTTGAACGAATAAATGAGTTCAATATTAAATAATTATTTCAATATCGATATTTAATTTTTCGTTTTGATTTGTTTCATGAAGTAGTTATAAGATTATATGATGCCTACATGACATGAGTACGAGCCATGTTGTGGTTGAATGTGCCTGACAACTGTGCTTTAATTCCTGCCTTTCCCTCCAGTGTCCATGACACTACTCTGAAGTGTTGTACAAGATTTTTTTGCCTTTCAGAAGTATAAATAGTAGCATAGGCAAAATGCAAGTTCGGCACTGATCAATTATATATTGATATAAATATATTGATAAAATTCTGTATATATATTGTATATTTTCTGAATATATTTTCTTTCCGTTGCTTTCATGTGTTTCTGTATTTTTTTCCCAGCCAGTCTAGGCCCCGAGATGTCGAAGGTGTCATATTTAGTCATACGTAGGTTCATTTTGACGATTTTTTGCATTTTAGCTTCATTTAATGGCTGGACGTCCATTGTTTTGCTTGTTGACAGTGTACTTCGGTGTCACATCAATAGAAAATTTCGATGGTCGTTTAACAGTTGCTCGCGAAGCGACCAAAATTAACTATACGTGCGTCATGTAGTGAGAAATGGATGTTGGAGTTACCATTGCGTCACGACATTGGAATTCCAGAGATGAATACGGACCTGGCCGCGGCTGTATGCAGCAACATCCGTTGGTTGATCCACGCGTAAACTATTTACCGTCGCTAATAATTATTCTACCGTCGCTTTCACGGAAAACTTGGTGGAAGCTTTGGGAGAGATTTGATTCGTTTGTGTGTCAATACTTGATCGAAAATTTAACTAGAACTGGAGCGGAGGAACTAAGAAGAAGTATCTTTGCTGGTTCGTAGTTGGATCAAGTCTTGAAAGGCTAATATTTTGAACAATAACCGAATCTTGATGATCGAAAGGTTTCATTACACTACGAGGACTATCTCGAAAATGGCCAACTACCTGCATATGCAAGCAAGTTATAACAGTTTTTTAAGTCGTGCTAAAAGGCGGATTGCCTAATTTCACAAAAAATTAATTCACATTTTAAATTTAATTTTTAACAATTTTCATGCTCTGCGGGACAAACTAGGCAAACGTTCTTGTATGATGAGAACCCATGATCAATGATTTTGGAAGGAGAGCATATAATTTCTTTTTGCTATTTAATTTCTCCATATTTTTTTATCCGAAACTTATTTTCTCACCAATTCAAAAAAGCTTTCGAGAAAAACTTGAATCAGATTGGTAACCAGCGCCAAAAATGATTTAGAAAAATGTAATTTCTGTTGTAATCTTTCGAAGAGAATTCTTCATGGGCTTTTTAGCGCATTTTCTTATTTATGGAAAAAGGCGCTATTGTGTTGGTAATGTCCGTCCGTCCGTCTGTCCATGACTTCACGTTTTCGTCGACGAGAAAATGCGCTCTCTGTCACTCACTGCAGTGAGTACTGAGTTATGGTGAACATCAACGAACAAATTGTAATAGAAATGCGATGAGATGTTTTCTTTTTAGTATTTTCGAGTGTAATAGAAATGCGATGAGATTTTCTTTTTAGTATTTTCGAGTGCCTTTGTTTGAGCAGCAGCTGTGGGTTGCTGCTGGCACAGGTGTTTTGTTCAGTGACCAATGGCTGAATACCTGCCCCACTGCAGCAGGTGCTATTATCCAACATATCTTGAACATTCAGAATATACTTATTTGGTCACGATTTAATCCAACATATATATTAATTTGAACACACAGTATATACATGTATTCGGTCACGATGAACGTGATTCTACAAATCGTAGAAAATGTTTGTATTTGTAGATACTTGTTTTTTCTTTATTAAGAATTATTTTCATGAAATTAAACTTTTATAGATAATCCGTATAATGGGAATTTAAATCTCCTATAGCTTTCAGTATTTAAATTTTTATATGTAGCGAAAATATATGAATTGTTCATTTTTCTGTTCGATGTTCAACACAAGATTTAAACTCAAGCATATAATTAGAGTTATGGAAATTTCGTAAATTACAATGTTTTCAATCCCTGTGCTGAAAATCTCATTATCTACATAAACGAACACCAACGAAAAAAAACAGGCATCAAAATTTTTAATCAAATAGGTCTTCAAAATTATGTTGGTGCCAAATCATTCCTATATATATATATGTCATCCAAATATTAAAATTTTAGAATTGAAGGCACCGTCTCAGCACTAGTCAAAGAAATATTGGGAAATAAAACTGGAATGATTATTTATCATATAATATATCAACTAAAGAACAACAAGAATAAAATAAGAAAGTTTTTTTTGCGAAGTACAACATAATTGATCTGAGTTAATGAATCCTTAATGCACGTGTTCCAAAAAAAAAAATTATATAATTCTTGTTAAGCCAAATTTTGAAGTACAATTTGA